AGATTAAGTGGCTTCTGAGTTCCCTTCCAGCTCTAGGTCAGTTATGATTTTAATCATTCTCATTGCCCTGTAACACAGTAGCTACTTCTGGAGGTAGAGTCCCTTGGTTCTGACATTGTTTCAGAAGAAATTAGATGACCACTTCTCTGGGATGTTATAGCAGAGATTCTTGCCCAGGTACAGACTGCAGGTCCCACCTGACTCTTTGATCCTGTGGCTCTCATATTCTTTCTGTTCCTATGTGATAGGTAGCAAAGGACTAATCCATACATAACTTGGATTGGGTGCTAGGTATGTGGTATGCCCCTACTTCCTAAACCTCCCAGAATCTACAGCAAGGTTAAAAACTATAGAAACTTGTCCTCTATAATAAAAAAAAAAAAAAGCAAGACCTAGCTATATCTCAAAGATCGTAAAAATGGGAAAACAACCCACGTGTACAAAAATATTTATAGCAGCTCTTTTGTGGTGGACAAGAATTGGAAACTGAGGGGATGGTTGAACAAGTTGTGGTATATGAATGTAAGAGAATACTATTGTGCTAAAAGAAATGACATGCAGGTGAATTTCAGAAAATCCTGGAAAGACTTACATGAACTAATGCTAAGTGAAGTGAGCAGAACCAGAAGAACATTGTACACAGTAACAGCAACATTGTGCTACGACTGACATAGATAGACTTGGCTCTTTGACAGACTTAACTCTTCTTAGTAATGCAAGGATTTAAGACAACTCTAAAAAACTCATGAAGGAAAATGCTATCCACACGCGGAAAAAGAACTATGGAGTCTGAAAGCAGATCGAAGCACACTATTTGCTCTCTTTTTTTTTGTTTGTTTGTTCTATTTTGTTTGTTCTTCTTTGTGGTTCCTCCCAATGGTTCTAATTCTTCTTCACAACATGATTAATGTGAAAATATGTTTGATATGAATGTATATGTACAGCCTATATCAGATTGCACACCATCTTTGAAGGGGGAAAGGGAGGGAGAGGGAGAAAATTTGGAACTCAAAGTCTAAAGGAAGTGAATGTTGAAAACTAAAAATTAATTAATTATTAAAGAAAAAAAAAAGCCAAGACCTAGGCTTGCAACCCTAGGGTACATTAACTATAAAACTGATATTGAGAAATGAAGGTGACATAAAAGCCAAAGATATTTATTATTTTTTAGATGAAAGGCAGTCAAGTCTAACAACCACCTCAAAAAGTAGCTCACAGCCTCATCCTGAACCTTTTTGTCCTTAGTGGGTGACATGCCCCATCACTGAGCAATGTGAGCAAGAAACTTTCAGCTTCCATAAAGTTCTAAACTTAGAGACCACACAGTCACTTCCCTGTTTCTTAAGGACAAGACATCTAAGCTGTGGGTTATCCCCTGGCTTCCTCTTTCCAAAATTAACATTCTTGGCCATTTCAAGGTTATCATCACTTTTCTGAGGAGGTCTATAATTCACTGTACAACCATGGAAAGATAATTCCATTTGAGAAGTTCTCAGTTTCCACATCTGTTAAATGGTCAGCGCAATATGGCGTAGTGGAAAAAGCCCTAGATTTGGAGTTCAAGTTCTGACTACCTAAGTGACGTTGGGCAACTCGCTGCTTCTCTTTGGTTTCGATTTTCTCCTCTGTAAAATGAGGGAGTAGGATTAGATGTCTTTCCAGCTCTAAATCTGTGATCCTATAAGTCCTACCTCCCAGGGCTGCCATGAGAAGGGTGCTTTGTAAACCTTAAAGCACTATAGAAATGTGAGCTATAATTATCTAAAAGCACAGGTTATAATCAGAGTACAGAGTAAGACTCAGTAGTGGGATGGAGAGGATGGAAGATGGAACTGTTGATTGCTGTGGACAAAGAAATATGGGGTACCCCTGGAGGTTTTATCTGGTAAGTGCCTGCTGAGACAATTCCCTTCTCCTGGTTGAGCCCCCATCACCATCCTGATAGAACCAGTGCAATCAGCATAGCTTTGTACCCAGAATTAAGCTTCTCAGATACAACAACCTGACAAAAGACAGAGAAACTACTTGATATAGTGGGAAGAAGGCATAAACTTGAGACCAAGAGACTTCACTCTTCCACTTCAGTGTTATATGACTCTAGGAAAGCTTCTTCCTTATGGCAAACCTATTTCCCCAACCAGAAAATGGAAGATTGGCCCTGATGATCTCTAAGGTATCTTCCATCTCTAACATTCTATATTCTAACCTTCTATTCTAAGGATTCTTTCAGTTCTAACATTTATATTTAATATTCTATTCTGTGGTCCTTTACAATTCTTATATTCTATGTTCCAATATTTTGTCCTATGATCTGTGATCCCACTAGTAAGTAGTTCGTCAGTCAATCAATTAACATTTATTAAGGATATACCATATGCAAAGCACTGTGCTAAGCACTGGGAGTACTAACAAAGGCAAAAAAAAAAATTCCCTGTTCTTTAGGACCTCACAGTCTAATGGAGGAGACTACATGAAAACAGCTACATGCTAGAACAAACACGTTATATGCAGGATAAATTGAAGATGGTCAACTGAGAGAAGGCACTAAAATTAAGAGAGATCAAGAAAGGCTTCACAAATAAACAAGAAAAGACCTTTAAGAGAAAAATAATGGTAAATTCGGTTGGCACTAAGAGATTTAATAAGAAAAATAATGGTCATCTAATGCAGGAAAACAAATCTTAGAAGCTTCTCACACAGAGGACAAATTCAAGGCTTAGGGTATGCATTCTGCCCAATGTTTATGTTTTTTGAAACTGAAAAGAGCAATTTGTTGATTTAATTAGCCTTTATTTTACTCTTCTTTACCTAACATATTGTTAGAATCATAAAGAGTCTTTTATGGTCTTCAACAAATAAAATAGGCACACATTCCTCAGGTAAAAATTTCATAAAATTTATACCTGCTTTGTTATATTTCTGTTTATCATATATTTATTTTATCATCACTGTTTACTTATAACAATTTTATAAGTTATTTGTTGAATTGACCAAACAGTCATTTTTTTTTTAAATTTGGAAATACTTCTGAACTAGATGTAGAGCCTGCCAGCCTAAGTGGCATGTAACCTTTGGAGAATTTATAATTCAGAATATATAAATAGAAGCATAATTCATGAATTAGCTAATTATCTTTTCTTGCCATGAATAGTAGTGTGGTAACCCACCAGAAAGAAAATCACAGAGGTGACACATGTACATGCAACCTTCAGTCCTTTGTAAATGTATCATCTTTTTTGAAGGTTATACAAATGTTACCCCTCTTTCAAGCTTCCATGTACCAAGCTCCCCAGGGGTAATGGGTTAGCAATCATGCCTGGGCAGAGGACAAGAGAACATGAAATGTAATGCTGTACAAAATTGGGGGACAGAAAGAGACAAACAGGAGGAGAGAACAAAGATTGTTTCAGGAGACCAGCTTCCATCACAGGCAAACAGGACACCAGCCATGAATGGAAGAGCAAGAGTGGACTTTTGACTTTGCTTGAAGGCTCAAGCAACTGAGTATATCTACTCTCTTCTCTCTCTTCTCAGATGGAAAATTTTCTCCTAAAGCTTTTTACTTGCTTTATGCTGATCTTTTATCGTGCAATAGTAGAAATTTTGGATTAAATTGCATTCATTTAAAGAATTTGATGGGTATCATTTTGATGAATATGACTGTAAATGCTGTCTGGGTGGGCCAAAGGGGAGGGAGAGGGAGAGGGAGAGGGAGCTGTAAGGGTGTTGGGTTTTTTTTCATATTTCATGAAATTTATGTACTGGGACCCCCACATCCTGGCTTGGTGGTCAAGAAGACCACCCAAGGGAATATTTGAAAAAGCCATTTATACTTTATATGTTTCATAGCTACTCCTAAAGGTAGAATCAAACAGAATCTGGGACTTTCTTTAATTAGGCATTTAGTATGTTGGCAACATTATGCCAAGCACTGGGGATGCAAAGAAAGGCAATCACAGTCTCTGCTCTCTAGGAGCTCACATTCCAAGGGGGGAGGGGCATGCAAACAATTGTGTATATACAAAATATAGACGAGAGAAACTGGAAGTGATTTCAGAGGGAAGGGCCTAGCTAGGATGAGGTAGGAGTAGGGCTGGTGTGGATTGGGAAAAGTTTCCAGCAGAAGGTAGAATTTGAGCTGTCTTTTTTTTTTAATTCAATTTTATTTTATTTTCAATTTTGAAATTCTCTCTCCCAACTCCCCTCCACCAACAATTGAGAAAGCAAGAAAAACAAAACCCATTTCAAATATGTATAGATAAGCAAAACAAATGCCTGGATCAGTCATGCCTAAAAAACATTATGCTTCAATCTGTGTTCTGAATCCATTGCTTCCTTATCTGGAGATGGGTGTTTCATGTTTCATCACAGTCCTCTGGAACTGGTCATTGTGTTGATCAGATGCCGTCTTTCAGAGTCATTTGCTTTACATTATCATAGTTATTGTATAAATTGCTTTCTTGAATCTGTTCGTTTCAGTTTGCATCAGTTCATACAAGTTTTTACAGGTTTCTCAGAAACCATCCCCTTCATCATTTCTTGTTACCATACCTTGTGAAGCCACCTCCAATAGATGGGTAAACCCTCAGTTTTCAATTCTTGGCCACCAAGGAAAGAGCTGCTACAAGTATTTTTGTACCTATGGGTTCTTTTCCTCTTTCTGTGATCTCTTTGGGGTGTAGACCTAGTAGCAGTATCACTGGGTCAAAGGATATATACGGATTACTAGATTTTGGGGTATTGTTCCAAATTGCTTTCCAGAATGACTATACCAGTTCACAACTCCACCAATAGTACAGTAATGTACCTGTTTTCCTCCAGCACCTCCACTATCTTTTTTCTTGTTTTTTTTTTTGTCAGCTTTACAAATGCAATGGGCATGAGACAGCAAAAAATTTCTGTGGTGGGTTTGTGTTTTTTGGAAAGTCATAAGAAGGCTGAGCACAGAAATATTTAAAGTATGTCTAAAGTTTACAAATTTTAATGTTCTTCTCTCTTAGTAGATACAATCTTTCTACAAGTCTGAAATCCTGGGATTTGTTCCCATCACCTAGAATCAGAAACATTTCAGCACAACCAGGAATTCCAGAGAAAACCATGCCAGCTGAACAGAAGTCTCTGCTTTGGTCTCTGACCTGCATTACCTGTCTTCTGATTCTCCCAGCTGAGGGTGAGTGTCTTCAGGCCCAGTGCCTATCTTGGGAAAGTAGGTTGAAATTTATCCCCGATGAGTTCTCCCTGCATTGCCAAGGAGGAATGATGGGTAGGCCAAGTTCCCTCCTCTTGGCGAAAGACAGAGAACTCAGAATGAAAATCCCCAGGCTTTTCATAAGAGGTAGCATTTCCCTCTAGCCTTAAGATGATGATAGGGAACTGAGTTTGAGAGTGAGACTTCCATGCTAAGAATTTCAATTAAGGTCAGGTCAGGGGAATGGCATGTCAAAACTTGACATGAAGTGCTGGTGCCATGAATAACTCGGTTCTAGATAGTAGTGATGCGCAATACATGATATTTATTGTAAAGACAGGTGTAGATGCCTAGGGCCAGGGGTAGTGTTGAGTAAGACTGATGGGACCTGTCTTCCAGGAGCCTTCTGTGCTTACAGAGGTACAAGATGGCCCCATTAAGGCTACCAGACAGTGGGTCCCTTTGGGCAGTCAGGTGGGCTCCCACATCCTGCTAGTGAGTCATCCTTAGTGACCAAACTGGCTGGTCTGCTCTGGCTAAGGCTGGCTAACCAGTAGACAAAACCATGGATATTTATATGATTTTAGAAGGGTATGGCTGTGTATAAAGGGAGGGGTTGGACTTTATCTGGAGTATACACAGTGTGAGCTCAGATAGTGCCTTGGGGCCACTTAAGCTTATCTTTAGGAAAGTTACACCTAGAGGGAATAACGGCTGAGTGTGACTATGACTATGAAACATATGCTTCTTTATATTAAAGGAGTTATTTTGCTGGGGGGTGGGAAGAGACAGACATGCCTTGCAGTTACATTCACAGGCAATATTGGGGCTTGAGGAATTTCCTCACACCTGATCATTAACTCTTTTTGTGAAGGGGGCTTAGGTTTCATAGGCAGCATAAATAAACTGGGAGATCTGCCAGAAAGGCTTCATCATGCATGAGGAAATTCCAATCCATCAACTGGTCATCCCCTACTTATTGGGAATATATGAGGGAGATAATTTTTCAGACCTTAAAAACAGAAAAGGAAAGGGACCAGAGAAGGGTTCTCCCATCTATAGGGCCCACAGTCACACTTTTCTTTTTATGCAATGCTCTCCTCATTGGGCAACTCCTTGCCTGGCATAAGAGCTCTACTGGTATGCTAGTAGAGAACTGTGGCAACTAAATCTGCATAGTTCTTAAAGACTGAAAAGATTTTATAGTTTATCTAGTCCAACCCACTCATTTCTACATAAAAAAACTGAGGCCCAGAAAAAAATCTTGGGCTCCCAAACTAAAACTCAATAGAGCCTGTCTTCATAATGGCAATTGTCTGGCTTATTAATTAAAGAATTTTCTGAACTCACATCTATTTTCAACCCTTTCCAGTCTTTGGATCTGAAAGAGGCTAAGCCCTGAAAGTTCATAAAAGTAATTTTTGTAATATCTATAGCTTCAGCTATATTGTTGGTAATATTCAAAAAGGCAGGGGTAGCAATAATGATCTTAGACAAAGTTATGGTTAAGATAGATTTAATTAAAAGAGATAAACAGAATAACTTCATTTTGATCAAAGGTACCATAGGCAATTAAGCAATGTCAGTATTGAATCTATATGCACCAAATGCTATAGCATCTAAAATTTTAAAAGAAAAGTTAAATGAATTACAGGTGGAGATAGATAATAGTACTGTAATAGTAGGGGACTTTAATCTTCCCCTCTCAGAACTAGATAAATATAACCAAAAAATAAATAAGAATGAAGTTAAAGAAGTCAATGCTACTTTAGATAAACTAGATATGATAGATATCTGGAGAGAACTGAATGGAGACAGAAAGCAATGCACCTTTTTCTCATCAGTTCATGGTACCTTTACCAAGATTGACCATATGTTAGTCATAAAACTTTTTTAGTTAAAAGCAGAAATATTAAAAATATTCTTTTCAGATCATAATACAGTAAAAATTATATTTAGTAACAGACCAAGGAAACATAAACTAAAAACAAATTGGAGATTAAATAACCTAAGCTTAAAGAATGAGTGGATTAAATAACAAATCACAGAAATAATAATTTCATTAAAGAGAATGACAATAATGAGAGAGCATATCATGAGGCAGCATATCAACATCTATGGGATACCTCAGAAGCAGTGACTAGAGGAAAATGTATGTCTCTAAATGCTTATAATGATAAACTAGAGAAAGAGAAGGCTAATTAATTGGGTATGAAATTTAAAAAAAAACTAGAGAAAGAACAAATTAAAAATCCCCAATTAAACATTAAATTGGAAATCCTAAAAATTAAAGGTGAGATTAATAAAATTGAGAGTAAAAAACTCATTGCATTAATAAATAAAACTAGGAGTTGATTTTATGAAAAAACAAATAAAATAGATAAATAATTGGCTAATTTGATTTTTAAAAAGAGAGAGAGAAAAAAACCAAATCACTAGTATCAAAAATGAAAAGGGTAAATATACCACTAATGAAGATGAAATTAAAACAATTATATGGAATTATTTTCCCCAATTATATGCCAATAATTTATCAATTTAAGTGAAATGGAAGAATATTTACAAAAATATAAATTGCCTAGATTAGCAGAAGAGGAAATAGAATGTCTAAATAGATCTATTTTAGAAAAAGAAAGTGAAAAGGTCATAAATGAGCTTCCTAAGAGAAAAGTACAAGGACCAGATTTACAAGTGAATTCTATCAAACATTTAAAGATCAACTAATTCCAATATTAAATAAAATATTTGAAATAATAGGTAAAGAAGGGATCCTACCAATTTCCTTTTACGAAACAAACATGATACTGATAACTAAACCAGAAAGAGTAAAAACAGAAAAAGAAAATTATAGACCAATTTCATTAATGAATATGGATGCAGAAATCCTAAATAAAATACTAGCTAAAAGATTACAAAGATTATACATTATGATCAAATAGGATTTATACTAGGAATGCAGGCCTGGTTTAACATAAGGAAAACTACTAACATAATTGATTACATCAATAATAAAAGCTTTTAAAAGTCATAGATTATATCAATAGATGCAGAAAAAGCTTTTGATAAAGTTCAACATTCATTTTTATTGAAAACACCTGAAAACATTGCTATAAATAGATTTTTCCTTAAATTGATAAAAACTATTTATCTAAAACCATCATCAAGCATTATTTATAATGAGAATAAACTAGAAGCCTTCCCAGTAAAATCAGACATAAAACGAGGATGCCCACTCTCACCAATATTACATTACTCAAAATTGTATTGGAAATATTAGCAATAGCAATAAGACAAGAAAAAGATATAGAAGGAATCAGAATATGGAATAAGGTAATAAAACTATCTCTTTTTGCAGACGATATGATGATGTACTGGGAAAATCCCAAAGATTCAACTAAAAAGTTAGTTGAAACAATATAACATATGTGGGAGTACATCTGCCAAAACAAACACAAAACTATAAAAACAAAATTATTTTTAAAAAAAGTTTTATGCAAATAAAATCAGATTTAAATAATTGGAGAAATATTAATTTTCACAAGTAGGCAGGGCCAATATAATAAAAATGACTATTTTACCCCAACTAATTTATATATTCAACACCATCCCAATTAAATTACCGGTTTTCTTACTGAATTAGAAAAAAAATAAAATTCATCTGGAAAAACAAAAAGTTAAGAATATCAAAGGAAGTAATGAAAAAAATATAAAGGAAGGACATTTAGCAGCACCAGATCTTAAATTATATTATAAGACAGTAATTATCAAAACTATCTGGTAATGGCTAAGAAATAAAAAGGTAAATCAATGGAATAGAGTAGACATACAATTGACAGCAGCAAATAAACATAATAACCTTGTATTTGACAAGTGTAAAGACTTAAGATTTTGGATAATAATTTGTTATTTGGTAAAAGTTGTTGGGAAAACTGGAAAACAGTATGGCAGAAACTGATCACAGACCAATATTTTATACCATTTACTAAGATAAGGTCAAAATGGATACATAACCTGGATGTAGAGATTTTAACAAGAAAATTAGAAGAACATGGAACATATTACTTAACAGACTTATAGATAGGCAAACAATTCATGAATTAACAATAGATATCAAAATTAAGTGTAAAATGGATAATTTCAATTACATTAAATTAAAAAGAGTTTGTACAAATAAAATAAATGTAGCCAAAATCAGAAGGAAAGTGGAAAATTGGAGGGGGGGGGAATTTTTATAGACAGTTTATCAGACAAAGGTCTCATATCTAAAATATAAAAAGAACTTTGTCAAATCTATAAGAATGAGTTATTCCCCAATTGCTAAATGATCAAAGGATATGAACAGGTACTTTTCCAATGAGGAAATCAAAATAATTCATAGTCATATGAAAAATGCTCTAAATCATTATTGAATGCAGAAATACAAATTATAACAACCTTGAGATATCATTTTATACCATAGAAGGGGAAAGTAACAAATGTGAGAGGAAATGTGGAAAAATTGGGACACTAATTCATCGTTAGTGGACTTCTGAACTGATCCAACCATTTTGGAGAGCAATCTGGAATCATGCCCAAAGAGTTATTAAACTGCCTATACCCTTTGACCCAACAATAACACTACTTAGTCTATTTCCAAAGATGATTAGGGAAAAAGGGAAAGTACCTATATGTTCTAAAATGTTTATAGCAGCAATCTTTGTGATGGCAAAGAACTGGAAATTGTGGGGATGCCTATCAACTGGGGAATGGCTGAACAAGTTGTGGTATATGAATGTAATGGAATACTATTGTGTCATAAGAAATTATGAGCTCAATAATTTTAGAAAAACATGGAAAGACTTTCATGAGGTAATGAAGAATGAAATGAGCAGAACCAAGAGAAAATTGTATACAGTAACAGCAATATTATTTTAAGAACAACTTTGAGTCATTATAATAAGTTAATTTGACTATTATAAATACCCAAATTAACTATGAAGGTCATATGAAGAAAGATCCAGAAAAAGAACTGATAAATAGAAGTATGTATAGAACAATGTTACATACATGTGTATATCTATATCTATATTTGTCTCTAATGGTAGCCATCTTTAGGGTGGGGATGGGGGAAAGACAAAAAAAGAAAATAAGAAATTTACATGATAATTTTGTTGTACGTTTGTACTATGTTATGGAAATACTTATTTTATTCCATAAATTAAAAATAAAATTTAAAAATAAAGATTTTATTAGGAAAAAATATTCTAAGAGAGAAAAAATTCTAAGGAAAAAACCCCACACCATGGAGGGAGGAGCCACTTCCTAGTTTTTATGGAAACTGAATTTCTAGCCAAAGACAACCTAAGAGAATCTTTTTGTCCTACATACAGGGCAAGAGGCTGCTGGACCTGAAGTGGTGACCCAATTTGGTCGGGTCCGTGGGAAACAGGTCGCTGTCAAGGGAACTGACCATCTTGTGGATGTTTTCCTGGGAATTCCATTTGCCAAGCCCCCCATAGGGGCTAGAAGATTCTCTCCCCCGCAGCCTGCTGAGCCTTGGGAGGGTGTAAAAGACGCCACTGCATTCCCCCCAATGTGAGGGTGAACACAATAAGGAAGGCAGGGCAGCTGAATTGTGAGGAGGGCTGAGGCAGCAGTTAGGTGTGCCATAGCTGTGAGGAGACCAGCCTCCTTCCCATGCTGGAGGTGCCTGAAGCCAGCCCTTCAATGCAGAAAGAAGTTACATGTTTGTCTGTAGCTTTCACAATATTACCTAGTCAGATCCTTCTGATGTTGGGGGAGGCTCCATTTCTCGTTTAAACTAGTGAAAGTTTTACTGCTTCTCTCAAATGGTTTTTGTAAGCCTTTCAGTGGCTCTGTAAGCCATAAAATATTATAGCAGTGCAGGTCACTCATATTAGACATTTAACAGGGACTAACTTTCTTAAGTGGTGTAAGAACCGGGCAACAAGCAAGTATGGAGAAAGAATAAAATGAATTCAGCAGAAATGAGTCCCACCAAGGAGCAGAGCTCTGTGGTGATCATTTTCAAAATGTAATACTAGTGACTACCAATGTGACCTTGGGCAAATGACTTACACACTCTCCAGCTTGTTTCCTCTTTTACTTAAAAAAAAAAAAGGATTGGGCAAATGGCCTCTAAGTTCCCCCCAGCTCTCAATCCAATGATCCTGTTATTTGAATTGCCTCTTTCTAGACCTCTTGGTTCCTATTAGTTTCAAAAAATCTCTATAGAGTCTATTCATGCTTTAGCCTGATTTTCCTTTTGCTCATGAAGGTGTTTGCAGGAGTTGGAAAGGACAGACATTATGAAAAACACCTTAGATGGGAAACAGCAACTCTTCCCAGTATCTGAAGACTGTCTCTATCTCAACATCTACACCCCAGCCTCCAGACACAAGAAGGATAAGTTACCTGTAAGTAATGCTGCTTTTGCTTTGACAGCCCTGGTGCTGGACTGGATAGAGCACTGGGCCTGGAATCTGGAAGACCTGAGTTCAAATCCAGCCTCAGATACTTAGTAACTGTGTGACCCTGGGCAAATCACTTATCTTCTGTCTGCCTTACTTTCCTTATCTGTAAAATGAAGATAATTAAGCATCTCCCTCACAGTGTTGCTGTGAGGATCAAATGGGATAATATCTGAAAAGCACTTAGCATGGTGCCTGGCACATAGTAGGTGCTTAATAAACACTTGTTCACCTCCTCTCACCCCCTTCCCAATTTCCCTATTACTGCACCACCATCCTCCCATTCACCCAGGCTCATAACCTTGATGTCATCCTTGACTCCTTACTTGTACTAATACAGGGATGGGGAACCTGCAGCCTCACGGCCACATGTGGCCCTCTAGGTCCTCAAGTGTGGCCCTTTGGGAGTCGGTCAAAGGGCCACACTTGAGGACCTAGAAGGCCACATGTGGCCTTGAGGCCACAAGTTCCCCAGCCCTGTATTAATCTGTTGTCAAGTCTACCTCTGTAACTTTATATCTTTCTTATTACCTTTGTATCTTTCTCATACCATCCTGCCTCCCCCCTATACTGTTACCTGGTGGTGACAGTCCCTCATCTCCTTACTCCCAGACTATTCATATCACCTTCCTTTGGTCTCCTGGCCTCAAGATTCTCCTCACTCTAATCCATCCACCTAAAACATAAGTCTGACAGTGTCACTCTCCTGCTCAATAAACTCCAGTGGCTCCCTATTACCTCCAGGATCAAATATAAAATCCTCAATTTGGCTGATAAAGACCTTTCCAACTTGGCTCCTTCCTACTCTCCAGCCTTCTTCCATTCACTTCAATCTCCTCCAAAGAGTCTACAATCAAGAGACACTGGCACATGTGTAACCTATATCAAATTGTCTACCATTTTTGGAAAAGGGGAGGAGAGGGAAGGAGGGAGAAAAATTTGGAACTCAAAACCTTATGAAAATGAATGCTGAAAATTGACATGTAATGGGGGGGGAAATAAAATGCTATTAAAAATGAAATAAAATGCACAGACAAAAAAACCCCAATAACAAATATAAAATAATCCTATCTCCCAGAGTTGTTGTGAGGATCAAATGAGATGATGGTTATAAAGTGCTTAGCACATCAGAAGTCCTTAATAAATGCTTATTCTGCCCAGAAAGAGAGAGAGAGAAAGAGAGAGAGACAGAGAGAGAGACAGAGAGACAGAGAGAAAGGGAGAGACAGAGACACAGAGAGAGACAGAGACTAAAAGAGAGAGACAGAGAGACAGAGACAGAGAGAGGGGGTAGGAGGGAGGGAGGGAGAGAGACAGACAGACAGACAGAGCCAGACAGACAGACACAGAGAGAGAGCGAGAGACAGAGAGAGAGAGGGAGAGAGAGAGAGACAGAGACCAAAAGAGAGAGACAGAGACCAAGAGAGAGACAGAGACACAGAGACAGAGATAGAGAGAGGGGGTGGGAGGGAGGGAGAGAGGAAGAGAGAGACAGAGAGAGACAGACAGAGAGACACAGAGACAGAGACAGAGAAAGAGAGAGGGAGAGACAGAGACAGAGACAGAGAGACAGAGACTGACTTTGTTGCTGTCCCTCAAACGCAGCATGTCTCGCCACTCCATACCTTTTCACAGGCTGTCCCTCATGTCCTTCTATCTTCCCTGATGTCTGTGAGACTCAGCTTAAATTCAGCTTTCCACAAGAGGCCTTTCCATCTCTTCCTCCCCACCCCCAAGCACACAGATTGCTTTCTCTCTGAGGTTAGACTTTATATAGTTTCTATGTGCGATTTCTTTTTGCCACATGTTGTCTACCCCACTAGAATGTGAGTTTCTTGAGGGTCAGGACCTTGTATTTGTCTTTCTTTGTATTCCCCAGTGCTTAACACAGTGCCTGACACTCAGATGCTTGTTGGCTCACTGACTGACACTAATCCACTATCCCTGTCCCCAAGGCTGCTGGGGGTCAGAGAGCCCTATCCGCTATCCCTGTCCACAGGATCTCTGGGGGTCAGAGAGGCCTAGAATTTCACAGCACTAAAGTCAAGGCATATCCCCAAAGGCAAGACTCTTGGAGTTCAAGCCCCTTTGATCTGCTCATTCTTAAGTAGGGTTTTTCCCATGCTGGAATATTTCCTCATTTAGAGACTCCGGGAACCTGGCAAAAGTTCTTCCTCATTTTCCCTTACAGTGACTACTATTTTTGTGTTCCTGCAAATAGTTTTGGGGGTGAGGAGACAGGGCACAAGGACAAATGCCCTAGGCCTACCATGCTAATCCAGGTGGATGGGGCATCCTTGTTTCAGCCCAGACGATAGCAAGGGATACTTCCTTAGAGAAAATATACCCTCCGGTTGCCATGGATTTTCCCCAGAGACTGTTTCCAGATGTTGCTACTCTCAGCGTTTCTCTTAGGTGATGTTCTGGATCCATGGGGGATCATTAGCGATTGGAGGAGCTTCCTCATTGGATGGATCACCTTTATCAGCCTATGAAGATATCGTGGTGGTAATAGTACAATACAGACTGGGATTCCAGGGATTCTTGAGGTGAGAAAGTGACTAAGGTGGTTTGGGGACCTTGGGCAAGGCCCTTCCTCCACTCTGGGCCTCAATTTCCTCATATGTAAAATGAAGGGGTTTGGACTAAGAGGTCTCTAAAGTCCCTTATAACTCTGCCATTCTACAATCATGTGAGCCCCGTGGAGACCCAATTGGCACTCTAGTAGAATCGCAATATCTGAATGGTTCCTTTAGTCCATCGCCTACCTGGATAAAGATTCTTTCAGCAACATCCTCAGCAGCAGTCTTCTGGTGTCTCCTTGAAGATGTAGAGTGAGCTACCTTCCCAAATAACCTTTTCTACTTTTGGAGATTAGCAAGTTCTTTTAGTATAAATAAATTCTATCTCATGTTGAATTTAAATCTACCTCTCTTTATCATCTGCCTGGGGCTTCCAGCTCTGCCTTTTACAGCCAAAAAGAATTCATCTAACCCTCTTCCATGTGACAGTCTTTCTAACACTGGTAGATGACTCTCAAGTCTCCCTAAATCTTTTTCACCAGGTTGAACACCCCCATTTCTTCTAACGAATCCCCATATGGCATAGTCTCTAGTCTCCTCACTGTCCTAGTCACCTTCTTTTGGAATATTCCAATATATCAGTGTCCTTTCTAAAATATGGCACCCTGAGGGCAGCTAGATGGCGCAGTGGATAAAGCTCCAGCCTTGATATCTGGAGGACCTGAGTTCAAATCCAGCCTCAGACACTTGACACTTACTAGCTGTGTGACCCTGGGCAAGTCACTTAACCCCCATTGCCTCACCAAAAAAAAATAAAATAAAATAAAATATGGCACCCAGAACTGAGTACAGGACACCAAATGTGGTCTGAATATAGACTGAGTACGGCGGCACTGTCACATCCAGACTAATGTCCTGGATAACAGGCCTCTTTTAAATCTGCCTAAGATCATGCTAGATTTTCTGGACTGTCCCTTCACACTGTTGACTCAAAATGAAGTCATCAACTCACGTTAACAAGCATTTATGAAGTGACAGCTGCATGCCAAGTACTGTGCTAAGTGCTGAGGATGCAAAGAAAGTCAAAGAAAGTCAGTTCCAGTCCCCACCTAGGAGTTCACAGCCTCCTGGGGAGACAATGGCGAGCAACTAGGTACAAACAAGATGCAGGAGGAATGGATGGGGGAAGGAGGGTGGTCTCCAGGGATGAACAAGGATTGGGGAAAGTTTCCTGCAGAAGGTGAGACTTCAGCTGAGATTTTGAAGGAAGCCAAAAGGCAGAGATGAAGGAGGAGAGAACTCCAGGCTTGCAGGACAATCAGTGAAAAGGCATGGAATCAGGAAGTGGAATGTTGTTTGTGAGAAACAATCCACTAGGAGGCAGGTAGATGACACAGTGGATGGAGCTCCAGCCTTGGAGCCAGGAGGACCTGAGTGCAAATCCAGCTTCAGACACTTGACACTTATTAGCTGTGTGACCCTGGGTAAGTCATTTAACCCTGATTGCCTGACCAAAAAAGCAAGAAAAAAAAAAAAGAAACAATCCACTAAAACCTCTAGATGTTTTGTACATGAAGTGTTTTCTAGCCATGCTGTACTTGTACCATTGATTTTTTAAACCCAAATATAGAATTTTACATTTATCTTTATTCAATGTTAGCTTATTAGACTCAGACCACCATTCTAGAGCCCCCAATTTAATCCCCCAATGTGTTAGCATGTTTCCAAGATGGCTGACATTTGCAATTTAACATGCATGCCTGATGCTTTCATCTAAAACATTAATAAAGATAAGTCTTCCTAGCAGGTAGAACCTGACTGCTGTCTCTCTGGCTTTCAGCACTGGGGATGAATTTGCACCTGGTAACTGGGGATTCCTAGACCTGGTGGCTGCTTTACAATGGGTCCAGGGCAACATTGCTCACTTTGGAGGAGACCCCAACTGTGTGACCATCTCTGGACAGTCTGCAGGAGGAGCTTGTGTCTCTCTACTTGTGAGTTTGCAGATGATTCCCCACTGGTATAGGGGGGTATAGTGGGAAGAGCATTGGATTGGGAATCAGGAGTTCAAATCATGGCATCACCACCAATTGACTATAAAATGGGGAAGTTGGATTAGGAATTCTAAGCTCCCTTATTGACCTAACGTGATTTGATTCCAATTCGCATGGCCAGCCTGATCTCCAATCTTTCTCTGAATGTGCATTCCCTTAAACTAGAACTCTTCCTGAGGAGTATCAGTCCCTCAGACATTCTCTTCATGTCTTGCAGGTTCTGTCTCCTGTGACCAAAGGTCTGTTCCACAGAGCCATCTCACAGAGTGGGGTGGCCATCATGCCAGGTGTCATCATAGATCACCCTCAACCCATTTTTCAGGTACGTTTTTGGCTTCTTAGTCTTCAGTGACTATTATCTAAGAGACTCAAATCCATTTTAGAAAGGTCTCCTTAGGTTCGAAGGTTAGATCAATTCCACAAGTTTGAGAGATTCCCATTTTGGGGATTTTCTTGGCAGAGATACTGGAGTGGCTCGCCATTTCCTTCTCCAGGTCTTTTTACAGATGGGGAAACTGAGGCAAACAAGATAAAGTGACTTGCCCAGGGTCACACAGCTAACAAGTGTCTGATGCTGGATTTCAACTCAGGCCTCTGTGACTCCAGGCCCAATGTTCTATCCACTGTATCACCTAGCTGCCCAGGCAAGCAAGATAGTAGTCAATTTATAATCAGAGATGGGCATTTCAGAGTTCAGCATCACAGAATTGGTATAATTATAGAGGAGAGGAAAGGGAAAGAGTCTGAAAGCCATAGGATGGGGAAAGTACAAGTTAAACAGGGTTCCCTCCACTCTCCACGGTCCTACGGAGAAAAGAAAAAAGGAAAATAGAGAGAGGGCTTACTATGTGCCAGGCACTTTACAACTATTAGCTCATTTGGTCATCCTATCAACCTTGAGAAGTAGGTACTAGTACTGTCCCCATTTTACAGGTAAGGAAATGGAGACAAACATAGGTTAAGTGACTTGCCCAGGGTCACACAGCTAGTAAGTATCTAAGGCTGGATTTGAACTCAGATCTTCACGACCCCAGTCCCCTTTCTTTAGCCACTGCAAATTGAGAAAGAGCACAGCATCAGTATGGGGTCAGCATCAACATGACTATCTATGGCGTGTTCTTTCTCCAAACACTGGGGAGCTGGGGGTAGAGGTGTCGGTAAGTTCAGGCTGAAAGACTGTGTTCTGGAAGACCAGGTCCTTAGGGCTACCATGACTTCACAGATGACTGTGTTCTGTAGCCTGACTTCAGCAGAAGGCTCTACATTGAGTCAATATTGAGTCTGTATTGAGAGAGTCAATGAGCGTTTATTAAGTGATGTAAGGTGACAGAGTAGAGAGTGTATTAGACTTGGAGTCAGGAAGGCTTGAGTATGAATCCAGCCTTCTGAACTTAGTGTTCTTCCGGCCAAGCCATATAACTTCTCTTAGCCTCAGTTTCCCCATCTATAAAATGGGAATAATAACAGTTTGTATCTCGTAGAGTTGTTGTGAGGATAAAATGAGACAACATAATTAAAGCACTTTGCAAACCTTAAATCACTATGGAAATGCTAGTTGTTGCTGTTGTTATCATCATCCCAAGATGGCAAGGATTGAGTTGCACTCAGAAGATACTTTGCACAGAGACTGTGCCTTCCTTGGGTCCCGGCTAAGTCAAGAACCTGCTGTCCTGCTTCAGGCTGTGCTTCAGTACCTTGCCTGAGGCTCTAGCTCTAGGTAAGGGCAGGGTCTGTGGCTGTGGTTTTGGCTCAGATCAGACCAAGGCAGACAACTCCAGGCCAGGCCAGGTTGGACTCCCACATTCTACAATGGGACAAGGTGTGCAGCCGTGCCTGCTCTTGGGCTGGGCTAAATCATTGATTACCTTTGGAGAAAGGATGCTAGATTTGACATTGGAGGACCTGGGTGGGGATACTGGCCCTAAATTGCATAATCTCTCTGAGGTCCCCTTTCTTCATCCTTAAAAAGAAAGGGGTTTGGGGCAGGTAGGTGGCACCGGCCCTGGAGTTAGGAGGACCTGAGTTCAAATCCAGCCTCAGACATTTAACACTCACTAGGTGTGTGACTCTGGGAAGATCGCTTAACCCCAACTGCCTCACCAAAAAAGAGAGGGGGGGTTATGCTTAGTCATTGTTGTTGTTGGACCTTGCCAACAACGTCATGTGGGTGATATGTTAACTTGTGTGTAAATTGGATTTGAGTGAGGTAGAGCTGTGCAAAGTCATCAGCCAGCATCCAGGGGCGGGACAAAAGTCAAGATGACTGGCGAGGTCCCTGATAGAGACGTGATAGACTCAAGGTGCAGAGTGAGATACGTACATTTTTGGATATGGCCACTGTGAGAACTTATTTTACTTAATTAACCATGCACCTTTGTTACAATGGTTGGGTTTCCCAACCCTCAATATTGAGGGAAAAGAAGAAGAGGGAAAGAAAATAGATTATTAACTGAAAAAAAATTTAACTAAAAAATAAATTAAAAGGGAGGAGTTATACCAGAAGACCTCTAAGGCCCTCTCTTGGCCTAAACCAGTGATCCTATAACCCCTAGGAAACTTGACCTGATGGTTAACATTCCTTAGAAAATTTGGCCCCAAAATTTCAAAAAACTTGTTTGATTGTGTGATGATCTTTTTTTTTCTTATTTTTTTCTTTAAAAAAAAAACTTAAAGGGCAGCTAGGTGTCACAGTGGATAGAGCACCAGCCCTGGAGTCAAGAGGATCTGAGTTCAAATTTGACCTCAGACACTTGACACTTATAGATGTGTGACCCAGGGCAAGTTACTTAACCTCGACTACCTCACCAAAAAACAAAAAAGAATAAAAAACTTAACAGTATGTTTTTCTAATTACAGGTAAAGATAGTTATCAACATTCATCTTTGTAAGACTTTTAACTCCAAATTTTGCACCCCCCCTTCTTTCCCTCCTACCTCCCCAAGACAGCAAGCAGTCTGATACAGGTTATACATGTACAATCATGTTAAACATATTTCCAAAATAGTCATGTTATGAAAGAAGAAACAGAACAAAAGGGGAAAACCATGAGAAAGAAAAAAAAGTGAAAATAGTATGCTTTGATCTGCATTCACACTCCATAGTTCTTTCTCTGGATGTGGTCAGCATTTTCCATCACTCGTCCCTTGGAATAGTCTTGCATCATTGCATCATTGAGAAGAGCTAAGTTTATCATAGTTGATCATTGTGTAATGTTGCTGTCACTGTGTACAATCTTCTCCTGGTTCTGCTCAATTGTGTGATGATCTTTAGAAAACGTTAACCAATGGCTAATGACCTGAAGGAAACTTGATCTAGACTTTGAGGTAGGGGGGCAGAAAATGAAGGATGGGATGGAAGAACTTGCCTCCTCAGTCTTTTCATTGGGAAACAGAAATCTCCTTAGTCCCTTCTTCTGATACTTATAAATGTCTGTTCCTTTAAAATCACCAGGACATTGCTCTCTTACATGGCTGTGAAGGTTCTAGCTCAGCTGTTTTGATCCGGTGTTTACGGAATATAGAGAACATGATATTCGACAGGAAATTCTCATCTGTAAGTTGGCTTCTTCTGGAAATAGGTAGTTCTGGTATAACTGATGGACTGCACACAATGAATTCAGAAATGCCTATTCTGCTGCCAGAAAGATCAAGACCTCTCCATTCCTTCCCATTGTCTCTAAAAATCGAGGAGGGATTTTTCCCTGATTCCATCCAGGACTTTGGTCCACAGAGATCACTGGGTTCCAGACTAAACATAAGAGATGACTCTGGAACAAATTGGCCACCTGAAGGGAAGGTATTCCTTGGAGTTCAAGCTGCCAGAACTACAGCTCTCTGAGCCTGAGCTATCTGCTCTGGCAAACCCTGGGCTTGGCCAAAAAAGGATGTGGGTCAAGAGCACCAACCCAATTGAATACTCACTCCATGCCTTTCTCCAATATTTGATGGTGAATTCCTAAATCAAGGGCAAGGCCTGGCATAGATACTAGGTTAAGTAGAGCCTCCCTTTGCCTTCCAACATTTGAGCCTGAAGCAGGAGAGTAAACAGATGCTAGGGACTGAGGGAAGAAATGTGAAAGAGAAACAGAGAGCTAGGGAAGATAGAATTGTTTTCCTAGAGGAGACACAGGCAAGTGAAAAGTCTGGAGAAAGTTGAAGAAACTTTCTTAGTGAACATGGTCCTCTGTTTATCAAAGACCCAAGAAATTGGGCCCTTGAACAATGGCAGGCCCTTCTCCAAATAGCTCCCTTCAGCTCTCTGAGCATGAGAACCAGATGTAGATACCAGGCAGAAATATACCTGAGATCAGGACACTACTTCTAGTCGCCAAAGGGAATCCGGGACAAGGAAGGAACTTCAAAGCACAGGTCATAGAATGGCAAAGCTGGAAGGCATCTTAGAAACAAAAACATGAAATTTGTCCGAGACCTTGAATACAGAATGTTTGGATACAGATCATGGAATGACAAAGCTGGAAGAGGCTTTTGAACATGAGAAGTCAGGGCAGGGAGGGACCTAATCAAATCCAATCTCATTTTATATATGAAAAAACTTGAGCCAAAAAAAGGGAAATAACTTTTCCAAGGTCAGACAGCAAGTTAAAAATAGAAGTGAGATGAAAGCCCTAATTTCCTGACTCCTGGTGTTGTATGGGTAAATCCAAAATGAAAGAATAACTCACCAAAAAAAAGTTTTCTTCTTCTCTTACAGCTACCATATATCCCAGCTACTGTGGATGGTGTTCTCTTACCAAAGTTCCCAGAAAAGCTCCTCTTAGAGAAAGAATTCCCAAGAATTCCCTATTTGTTTGGAGTCACCAATCATGAGTTTGGGCACATGATACCTTTGGTAAGATTATTTCAATGCCTTGGCAGGGGAGTGGGGATGGAGACTGGATCCATGATTTCATTGGTATCAGGAATTCTCAGATGGGGAAGCTTTCTCTACCAATGCATATTGGCATCCGCTTTAAAACTGAAATTTTGGGGGTTATGTGGGAAGAAGAGGTTATCCATCAGGAGTTCAAGGATGCCTCCATTGTCAATCTCTATAAAGGTAAAGGAAAATATATTGTCCTCTGACAGTAACAGAGGGTTCTCTGTCTTAGTCATTGCTGGCAGGATTCTTGCCAGAGTCCTCCATAATAGACTGATCCTTCACCTGGAAGATGGTCATCTTCCTGAGAGCCAGTATGGTTTCAGAAAGGGCCAAAGAATAGTCCATATGGTATTTGCTGCCCAACAGCCCTGGGAGAAATGCCAGGAGCAGAACAGAGGTCTGTACTCAACATTCATCAATCTGGTCAAAGCTGATATTGTCAGTCATGAGGACTTGTGGAAAATTATGTCAGAATTTGGTTGCCCAGGGAAGTTCATCAGCATTGTGTGTCAGTTTCATGACAGCATGCCTGCCCAGGTTCTGGATAATGGATGATGCCCTTGCACTTTGCCAGTCATCAGTGGAATGAAGTAAAGCTGTGCACTTGCTCCCATGTTTTTTAGCATGATGTTTTCAGCACTGTTGTCAGAAACTTTCAATGAGGACAAAAACAGCTTTAAGGTCAGCTACCACACTAATGGTAAATTATTTAACTTGAAAAAGCTACAAGCTAAGACTAAAGTGGAGGGAGAGTTGGTGCACGATTTTTTGTTTGCAGATGATTGATTGTGCACGCAATACAACTTCTGAAGCTGAGATGCTTCATTCTCTGCTACTTGTGCTGATTTGGGTATAATAATTAACACCAAGAAAATACAGGTTCTCCACCAGCCAGCACCACACCATCCATACATGGAACCACTGGTTACAGCAAAATGGAGAAATTTTGAATGCTGTGGATAGGTTCACTTACCTCAGCTGTATACTTTCCAGAGACGTATGCATAGATAATGAGGTTGACTCATAGCTTGTCAGATATAGCTCGGTGTTTAGGAAGTTCTGAAGAAAAGTGTGGGAGTAAAGAGGTAGTAGGTTGTCTACCAAACCAAAGCGCTTTGTACTGACTTCATTGTTGTATGCCTGTGACACCTGAATAGCATACCAGTGCCACGCCAGGAAACTGAATTGTTTGCATTTGAAGTGTCTTAGGAAGATTCTGAAGATCACCTGTCAAGATAAGGTACAGGCCAATGAGGTCCTTTCTCGAGGTAAACTGTGAAGCATTCAAACTCTACTGTACAAAGTACAACTATGGCGGGCTGGCCACATTGTTTGAATGCCAAACATATGTTTGCCTAAAAGATTATTTTATGAAGAACTCATGCAAGGTAGGCGCTCACATGGTGGTCAGAAGAAGGGATATAAGGACACTCTCAAGGTCTCTCTGAAGAACTTTGGAATCAGTTGTGAGACATGGGAGATGCTGGCATAGGACAGCCCACCATGGTGTGCCTGAATCAAAGGAGGCACTGTGCTCTTTGAGCAAAGCAGAATTGCAGTAGATCAAAAGAAACAAGATATGCAAATTTAGAGATGTTTCCATGTCATCTCCATTCCAAATGTTCATATGGACTATTTGCACCCTACCTGAGATAGAGCCTTCTGAGCTCATATTCATCTGATCAGCCACAGTTGGACAAACTGTACTTTGACTCCAACATAGTGGACCCAGAACAACCACCCACCACCACCAAAACTTAAGAGTCTTAGAAAGCTGCTGAGAGCAAAGAATTGAGCTCTCCAGTCTGAGAATTTTTTTTTGTTCCTGATAGAAATAGCAATAACAGCAGCTAATGTTTATATAGTGCTTTCAAGTTTGCACAGACTTTATGACCATTGTTGAAGCATCAGGAAAGGAATGCAAGGTTGTTCTGGGCCATCAGCGGTTCCCTGGGTTCCAAGATCCTAGGATTCTAGGATTTAGATCTGAAAAGGACCTGAGAAGTTATCTAGTCTAACTCCCTTATTTGAAAGGATACAAAACTGACGGCCAGAGAAGTTGTGACCTACCCCAGTTACACAGCTAGTAAATAAAAGATTTGAACCAGTTCTTATGCTTCCTAAAATGATGTTTTTTCAGTGATATCATGCTAACAATTCACCTCTCAAACTGGCCAAGTTCAGCTAGGACCTGGGTCTCCCAAGAAGGAGATGTAGCCTCATTCTCAAAATTCACAAGGTTCTTGCATGCTGGCTAAGGTTGAGCTGGAGTCAGCTTAAGAAAGCCAGATTGGAAAAATAGCCAAATATTCTATTTTCAGTGTCAGCATTTATGCCTCAGAAATCAGTAAATGTTACAAATCTGGAGGCTTGATATGTCACATTGTTGACTGTTTAGACTTAAGAAAGTGATGGAGAAAATTGTTAATGATGCAGATTAAACTTAAAAGTGATTGATTGGAAAGTATGTCCTGCTTTTGGAGAGCTGGTTATTAAATATTTACCAGCACACCACCGCTTCCCACTTACCACCATTGGCCTAGAATCATAGAATCCAAGCTTGATAGCAATGGAAAGAAATCTTTAAGATCATCTAGTCTACTCTAACCCTCCTTTTCCTCCATATTCCGCATTTCACATGGGAACAAAGAGTGAGACCGGGAAGTGATTTGCTCAAGGATATATAGTGTGGGAAGTGAGGGAACCATATTGACTCCAATTTGTGGCTAAATTCTGGAGCTAGCTCAGTTCCCTTTCTATTCAGTTATGGGTCTAGTTGAACTTCTGTCTTGTGAGTAAACTTTATTCAATTGTGGGAATTGTGAGAAAACTGTATTGCATTGTTTGAACCCAGCCCTGAATGGCTGGGAAGCTGGACCCCCTCTCTCTGCTGTTTAGAGACCCTTAACTAAGGACCTAGATTATGCTGACCAGAAACCCAGTGTGATCCAAAGACTGATGTAAGAAGTTTTCTCACAATTCTACATCTCAAGCAACCCATATGTCTTATCTGAAAACTAGCCCCACACTGGTCAATCAATTATTGTTTCCATGTTCCTTTGATTATTTACAGATATTTGGGGGGAGTGGGACACCTCTTTTTTTATTTCAGGGAATTGCATCTATTCCCTCTCCCCCTCCCAATTTGGAAAGTCCCTAATCTTTCCTTCAATTAGAAATCAGATTACTTAATTTTGAATGCTGGTTATTTGTTTTCTTTCAACTAACTGATCTATTTGATTAATTATTTTTAATGCATAAAAAAATCTGTCTCCCCCTGTCTTCAGGGGTCCAGTGCCAAAGCTGAGGACATCTTGTCCCAATTTGTTATGCAGTTGGCAGGCATTACTCAATAAATTGATATGCTTGGAAGCTCAAACCCATTTCCTCAGTCATTTCATCTTTAACCCACCACAGTTTTTGGCAAGCCATGCTAGATCAAGTCAAGACGCTAACCTTACCACCCTTTCAGAAAAAACTCTGTAGAATTCTCTGGTTAATTTTTCACTGAGAGAATTTTTCATGGAAGACTACTTTGGGGGTTGGACTCACTGATCTCCATCCCCATTTCTTCCAAGCTATGGTAAGGATTAAGTTTAAATTTTGGATTAAGTTTTCTCCCGGGCATGGGGAAAGTTAGGTTAAAAACTTAATTTAGATGAAGCCAAAATTTTCCCCCATGGGTAGGGCAGGGTTATGGGTTCCCCCGGATAGATTTTTGGTAGCTTGGAACCAGGGGATGCTCCCAATAGCTCTGGGAATAACTAAATAGTGAGCAATTGAATTATGTGACACGTAGCACAAATCTGCAAGAGATTCAGCTGGGAATTCATTTTTGGCCCTAATTCAGCTCTTTTCATTACTGCAAATTGAAAAAATTACAGCTAGCAAGTATGTGTTTATCTTGTGTTTGTGTTTAGCGTCGTGTATAGATTCTGCAACCTTGAAAGATTTCTAAGGGGAAATTGGAGCCAGCCAGAAAAACTGGTAAAAAGCTGCCGCCCAAGAGTTTAGAATGCTGGGGAATATTTTTTTAAAATTTTTTATTTTTTTCCCTATTACATGTAAAAACAATTTTTAATCTTTGTGTTTTACAATTTTGAGCTCCAAATTCTATCCCTCCCTCCCTGCTTCTACCCCAACATTGAGAAGGCAAGCAATCTGATATAGGTTACGTATGTGCATTCATACAAAACATATTTCCACATTAGTCATGTTGTGGGGGGGGAAAAACAGACCAAAACAAACAAACAGGAAAAATAAAATAAAACACCGGTATGCTTTCATCTGCATTCAGATTCCATCAGTTCTTTCTCTGGAGGTGGCTAGCATTTTTCATCATAGTCTTGGATCTTTGTATTGATCAAATAGCTAAGTCATTCACAGTTGATCATTGTACAATAGTGTTGCTACTGCATGCAATGTTCTCCTGGTTCTGGTCACTTCACTTTGCATTAGTTCATGTAAGCCTTCCCTGGTTTTTCTGAAAGGATCCTGCTCATCATTTCTTATAGCACAATTGTATTCCATCATAATCACATACCACAACTTGTTCAGCCATTCCCCGATTGATAGGTATTCCCTCAATTTCCAATTCTTTGCCACCTCAAAAAGAACTGCTGTAAATATTTTTATACATATAGGTCTTTTCCCTTTTAAAAAAAAATCTCTTGGGACATAGAACTATTAGACCTACTGCTGGGTGAAAGGGTATGCAGTTTTATAGTCCTTTGGGCATAGTTCCAAACTGCCCTCCAGAACAGCTGAATCAGTTCACAACTCCACTGATAGTACATTAGTGTCCCAATTTCCCACATTCCCTCTAACATTTGTCATTTTCCTTTTCTGCCATATGAGCCAATCTGATAAATGTGAGGCGGTACATCAGAGTTGTTTTAATTTTCATTTCTCTAATCGATAGTGATTTACTAGGGTTGACTATGTATAGCTTTGCTTTCTTCATCTGAAAA